CACAAATGGACTGGGGGTCATTGTAATATGTGACATAAGCCAGAAACTGAGAGCAAAGCAGCACCTGTCTACACACACACACACACACACACACACACACACACACACACACGGTGAGCACCTGCAGCCCCTTCAGCCTACAGTAAGGTAGACCATGAGAGACCACAATTATGAAAAACAGACAGATTTTGTAAATAGAAAAAGGAAAACAAGCCAAACTGCTCTTGCAGAAGACTGCATTGTGGTTCAGAGCACCTACTGGGATGGCTCACAAGTACCCACAACTCCTGCATCAAGGGATCCAGTGCTCCCTTCTGGCCTCCATGGGCATCTGCACTTGAATGTAGACACATAATTAAAAACAAAATAATGTTTTAGATGCTGATACTGTGGTTGTTGAGATGGGATGGAGGGAAGTGGGTGGGTACTAAGACACATGCAGTTGCCCTGGAGCCTGACCAGAGACAAATGCTCAGGGGATGACTCCGTGGGTAAAGGGGCTGTCAATTTTTTTTTTAGATTGTTTTTATGAAAAATAAATTCAAAGAGCAATGACTAGAGAGCCATCTAAAACATGACTTGAAATAATGACGACATTAGGGTTATGGTTTTGAAAAGCCTTCACGTATATCCATAAAGTATACAAAAATCAATGTGCACACCTTCATAGGAGTCTCACAAAGGGCAAAGTTTTAATTCCTGTTTACCTTGGAACAAAGCACAAATGATTCAAATTCATATTCATTTTTCTTTTTCTCTCTCTCTTTTTACACTGGCATACAAAGACTAATGGGGATGAGCTAACTTTGCAAAGGTTAGCTTTGATGTTTCATGAAATTTCATGGCTAATCCGGGAACAGGTGCTGAGAACACGTGTATTAAGCTGACCTGAATGGCCTTAGTCTATTCTACTCCCTGTGCTATTCTCTGTAAGAGCTCATGTTTCAGTTCGGAAACTTCAGCCAAGTTTTACTTTCCTGGAGAGTGTTTCCTTTTCTCTCTTGATGGCTAATGGACAGACTATCAAATTAAACAAGGCTAACCAGTAAATTACAATTCTCATCATAGTAATGGTGTAGCCGCTGCAGTGCGCTGCCTGCTCTGTTGTACGCAGCCGTGGGTGCAGAGGCTAGCACCATGTAACATGTTCTAAAACCCGGGAAGGAAACATCCCTCACTTGCCAAGTACCAGCAATCGTACTTTCCTCACATCTCTGACAGTTAATACTGCCATGCTGGTTCTAAGCAGACACTAAATGGCCCCTCAGCCACTGCTGAGGGCAGCAGGGAAGACATGGGACACAAGACATGAAGATGGTAACACAATAGAGGCTGGAGAGAAGGCTCCAGAGTCAAGAGTGCTCTGGTGGTTTGAATAAAAATGGCCCCCAATGCTCATATATTTGAGCTTAATCATCCGAGAGTGGCACTATGTAAGAAGGACTAGGAGGTGTGGCTTTGTTGGAGGAAGCGAGTCACTGGGGGTGGGCTTGGAGAGTTCAAAAAGCTTACACCTGGCTCAGCATGATCTCTGCCTTTGGATCAGTGTGTAGCTCTCAGCTTCTCCAGCACCACACCTGCTTACTGCCGCACCCTTTGCTGTAATAATAATGGACTAAACAAGCCTCCAATTAACTACTTTTTTTTATAAGAGTTGCCTTGGACATGGTGTCGCTTCACAACAACAGAACAGTGACTAAGACAAGCGCTTACTGTTCTTTTAGAGGACTCAAGGTCCTAAAACCTCACAGAGTAACTCACAACCACCTGTACCTCTTCTGGCTTCCATGGTAACTGAATGCATGTGTCAGACATACAGACACATAGACATAAACACCAGCAGACACCGACCCACACCCATAGACACATCCACATGTAAATAAAGAAAAGACTCCAGCAAGTTATAAAGTCTGTTAGAAATTAAAAAGCGATAGATAAGCCAACTGCCAGATACTTTTCCAGGATTCAGGGAGCCTTTGACCCACGAGAACCCTTTTCAGTGGGGAAGTCTAAACTGCCCATCTTCAATTGAGTGACCACCCCTGTCACTTCTGCCTCTCACAGACAAAGAGGCATAGCAAGAGGGAGTCTCTCTCTTCTGTAGTCCAATTCTTTCTCCTTGCTCACACAGCTCTGCCTGTTGGGCCTCTCTGGTCAGTTGTGACCTCCCAGTGCTCCATCTTAATTTCTCCCTCTGAAATAATCTCCGAATGTGTGTGTGTGTGTGTGTGTGTGTGTGTGTGTGTGTGTGTGTGTGAGATGGAGGGTTAAGTGTCGGGTCAGTGACCTGAATAACAAAACATCTGAGCTCAAAACACCAGCTTGCAGCCCTTGCTCCCACCTGCTCCACCCAATCCCTCAGCAGAGTGCCTGTTTATGGCTCCACACCACTGGGAGGGGCTCAGAGCCATTTGTATTCAGTCAACAGCTTCCTAATCTTGTTCTTTGAAATGTCAACCAAATCATGGGATTGCCCACCTTGAGTCTTTCTGTAGCTTCTGTTGAATTATATATAATCAAAACAATCAACTTCAAACTGCAGGGGAGACTTCAGCAAGTCCTTGGGGGACCAAGCCTTTTCTATGCTCTCACAGATAAACAATGAGCAGAGATGTTATCCTGACAGGAAGCTGCTGGGTGCCAGCATCCCCTGTGGAGGCCTTACCCAGAATGCAGCAGGACACGGCCTGATCTGGGGAGAAGCGAGAGTCAAAGTTGCTTCTACACAGAATCTAACTGTGGCGACTCCCAGGATCACAAGAGCTCTGTGCTCTTGTGCTGACTGCACCTTGGTGACTCCTGGCACCCAGTGTTGAGCAGCCCACACACATCTGCCTTCTTCCATGCAGAGCATTTGCTTATTGTTTACTGTTTGGACAGTAATGTGTGCCAAGTCCTGCACTGGGCCCTGGAATACAATGGTAACTGAAATCAGCACGGCCCCTTCAGGCACTCCTTATAGAGTGACAGGAAGAGTCAAGTAAATGCAGACTGGTGAGTCACTGGGACACACACACACACGATCAAGGACTGTTCACTGAGGAGTGGAGCCTGAGCATTCAGTATTCAGCACTCAGTGTGATAGATGAACAGCAGGCAGGCAAAGGCAGAAGAGACAGGAGAGGACAGTACCTTAGGTATCAAGAACAGTGAGGCAGAGAAGCAGGGGGTCTGGAGGAGGAGGAGAAAGAAGAGGAAGAAGAGGAAGAAGAGAAGGAGGAGAAGGAGGAACAGAACCACTTGAGTTCTAGCTTTTCTGGTGCTGTGTGCCAGGGGCTTTATAAACCACCCCATCTACCCCGTACTGCTCAGCTGAGAGGAAACAGTCTCAGAGAAACTGCATATCACCTGTAGCCAACCAACAGCATGAAATACATATCATGGGTAGACACAAAAAGCTAGTGGAGACAGCAAGCAGCCAAACCAGTTCCTAGAGCCCTCAGGCCAGTCTCAGAGCACAAGTACACCTTATTAGTTGGTTATTTTTTCTTTCATTTTCTTTTTTTCCCTTTCCTTCCTCCCCTCTCTCCCCTTCTTGGCAAAGTAGAAAGGAAACTCAAAATACATTATCTGGTAAGAGCTAGAGGAGGGGAACCTGTGATCAGAATATATATTGTATGAAAAAAAAATTTTTAAACAACAACAACAAAAAAAGAAAAACAAAACAAAATCTAAAAAAACTCCACAGAACAGTGCCCATGTTTGTCCCCCTGGTGAGCAATCTCTGCCTCTTGAACTCTGGAAAAGAAGCCTCACAGCACGATTGCTCTCTTGTTCATGGGCCTACCGTTAACCCTGACTATGCAGCCCGCTCTGAGCTGTAAAATTGCTTTTCTCTGGATAAAGTTACTTCGCTTCTCTTGTTAAAAAAAAAATAGAAAGGAAGGGAGGAAGGAAACAGAAAGAAAGAAAGAAACAAAGAAAGGAGGGAGAAGACAATGGGCCACATACAGGAGAAGTGTAGTACAGGGTCATGAAGTTCTGTAGTCCCCATGTTTCAAATACTGTGCTCATGAATTTCAGCTAGGAAAAACAACAACAAGAAAAACCCAAACACACAAAACAAAAAACCCCAAAGAAACCCCAAACTAACCAAAAAAGAGTACTTTTAAAACTGTGTACACATTTACTGTGTATACTCGTTTTCACCATCTGTGGAGTGACTAGGTCATGTTCTACCCCGCACAGTTATTTTTTTATGGTGAGCCCTCACAATCTACTCTTTTAGCAATTTTCAAATAGAAAACATTGTTATTCGGCTGGCAAGATGGCTCAGCTGGTAAAGGCCCTTACTGCTAATCCTAACAGCCAGGACTCACAAAGTGGACAGAGAGAACTCACTCCTATGAGGTGTCCTCTGACCTCCACACAACATGTACACACACACACACACACACACACACTAAATAAAATACCTCAAGTAATGGTGTTAACTATTGACTATACATTACAAAATTTCCACATGAACCCAGAATTACCTTTATAACCATAAAGGGGGAAAAGGCACAGATAAGCCAGCAACAGCAACGGAAAAGAAAAAAAAAACCCAGTTACAAAAACTGAAAGTGTTAATGTGCACTCCACAGTACAGTACAGTACAGTACCAGCCTGCAAGCTAGTGAGTACACAGCCCCAAGAAGGGGCTCTTTTGTCCCAAACTGAGTGTGAGCCGAGGGCCTAATTGTTTCACTAAAGGTTGGAGTCTGATGGGAAAGAGCTGCACTCAGAGGCAGCCAGGACAGCGCAGAGGGACTGCTCGTTGTTAGAGGGCCACATGCAGAATATAAATCCTTTCCTGCAGTATGACAACAGCACCATGTTTTGTTTTGTTTGAGACGTGGCCTGTACTGGTTACTGTTCTCTGTCAATTTGACACAAGCTTCAGTCATCTGGGAGGAAGGAACCTCAGCTGAAGCTGAGGTTGTATCGGCTTGAATACACTTCCAGGGCCAGTACAGCTCAGGCTAGATGAAAGGAAACCTTGAATCTTTCAAATTTACCTGCCATGGTAGCATTGGAGGTCAGCAGAGGCACAGAGTGGTTTCCACTTGGAGAGCCTACAAAAATAAAGACATTCATTGTTAAAACATCCTGAAGATTTAGCTTGGTATATAGCAGGAGCCCTTTGACCTTCAGTTAAAGATTTGGGGCTCCAAGGGGTGTACATATTGAAGGCAACTGTCTGACTATCTTTGTGTGAAGGACTTGAAGAGTTGCTACACCATGGAAAGACAGTGTGGAAGAGTTCAGGCCCACGTGGCAGAGTCGCCAGGTTGATGAGCAGTCTGTTGGACATGCTTACACTCAGGCTGTCTCTAATTTTGAAGAAGAAACTGTGAGCTTGAAAAAAATGAGAGCCCATTTAGTTTAAGTGACTCTACCATGCATACATCCCATTCCCCTAGCCCCAGGTACAGTCAGTCTCTGAGCCTCGAACCTGTATGCAGATGAGGGGGAGGGGAACTTGCAGCTGTTGATGAGCATGGCCAAGGATGGTATGGGGAAGGGAAGGTAATGCTGCAGGAAGTTCTGCTTGTACCACTGTTGCTATGAAACGTCCTGGAGCTGTCAGTGAGTTTGAGGCTGCATTGTTAGATCTTTCACATGGAATACGGCAAGCTTCCGTAGCAACTTGCACGTGCCACAGTCTGGTGACAACAGCTTTGTCGAGGTGCCTGCAGAGGTGATGTCAGCTCTGTTCTGGGTGGTATGGACCACTCTGGAAAGGCCCTCCTTATTCCTGGGTGCCTTCTGGCCTTAAAACCATCAGCACCCCAGTGTCACTCAGTGGTGAGAGATTTGTAGGATTCTCATTTTTCAGTGAAAATCTCAGTATGACTTCTAATTTCTAAGCTAGTATCTTAAGATTTCGGCAGGTCAGGGGGATTAAGAGAATCCTGTGCTGCAGGTAAGCAACTTTTCAATGATTAATTTTGGAATCTGTATAAAGACTACAACCCACAAGGGAAGGGAGCTCCTTGTGTAAGTGTTCCTCCTCACAGGGACCAACCCTGTTGATATCAGGCTGAGCCCTACTCTGAGTCACTCCCTGTGTAAAGAGGCCCAAAGGTGTTATTTATGTTTCTGACAGAACTCACTCCCAACAATCCCCCTCACTCAAAACAAACCGAAGAAACCTTTAAAATTCAAAGAAAAGCCAGCAATAATAACTGTGAAATATTTAGCAACTCTTAAATCTATTTCTCATGTATCTTCCTATGGATGGGACAGTCACCTAGTGTGAGACAGAACTCAGAAAGGTCCTGAGAGATGCAGATGTATTTGACAGGTATCAAGTTGTGGCCAACAATATTAAGTGCTTATGGACAGAGGTTTCCTTTATCTTCGCCTTCTGGGAACTTTATGACAGGAGCATTGTTTTGCAGTGAGAGGAACTGAGCCCCAGCAAAAGCTACTCAACTCTTTAGTGGGTCTGGATGCAGATCGGGTCCATTGACTGCAAAGCCAGCATAGAGCTGTGTTCCTCCTCCCCTTTCTTCCCAGCGTCACATCATCAGCTGCTCCTCCCTCACCCGAGTCATTGCGATTCCTCCCTCTCCTGGTGTCAAGGTGCAACCTATTTGCAAGCAATGGGTCCCATGGCTACAACACTCAGAGCATCTCCATAGCATGGTTAACCTATGTCCGGACTGCCGCATGAGCCTCAATTACTGTCACTTCCAAGACAGCATTTCTAGGAAAAATATTTGAATGTTTGGACAGACATTTCCACATTTAGTTACAAGTTAATAAAAGTTATTTCATTCCCTTAAGGTTGTTGAAAGTGAATTAGTCACTTGCCATCAAAAAAACCAAAAAAAACAGAAAACAAAAAAACCAAAAAAAGAAAAAAAAAAGAACCTAACAGCGTCCCAGCCTGCCTCCCAAATGCTAGGACTAAAGGTATGTGCCAGCATACATGGAATCATTATTATTAATTAATTTATTTTATTATTCTGGTGTTTGAGACAGAGGTTCTCTATACAGCCCTAGCTGTCCTGGTACTCAGTATGTAGACCAAGCTCGTCTGAAACTCACAGAGACCAATGTGCGTTGTCTCTGGAGTGCTGAGATTAATGGTTTGTGCCACCATGTCAAGCAGAATAGCATTTTAAAAAGCCTGACGCTGAAGAGCATTACTTCCTCTTTTGTACAATACCCTGGACAACACTGTGGAATGAGAGCAGTTAGGCTGTGGCATCAGCTTGATGTGGTGTGGTGATGAGATGGCTGAGTTTGGATTCTGCTCTGAAGTCAAACATGTATTACTTGTTTTACTTTAAATAATTTAGCTTACTGCTCACGAATTTCTCAGCTATAAAATGGAGATGGGATGTGAGGTCTCTAAGAGTGACTTACAAACCTCAATTTAGCACAGAGGTGGTGGTAGGGAGCACCAGCAGAAAATGTACCTGGAATATTAGCTATGTTTCAGAACACTGTTAAAAATCACCACGTATTGTACTGCTAATTGTACTAATTACATGCGGCACACAAAGACTACAACAGTTATCTGGGTTTTTTTTTTTTTGGTTTGCTGTCAAAATTTTTAGAGATACTGTCTCCTTTATGTAGCCCAGGCTGGCCTTAAGAAGTGCTCAGATTAGCCAGAGGCCTGGTCCTGACACTCCCTTAACACCACCTTCTTTTCGCATAGTTTGAAGGTGTCTCTATAGAACTGAATTAATTGGTTCTATTAACTCATGAAATCAGGGCATCAGAGCATTTTAGGTTTTCCATATAGCACCAGCCTCTCTAGTGAGACACTCCTAAACAGAGCACAGAGAGGCAGTGGAGCAGCAACGACAAAAGTGTGTTCTGACAGCAAAACATAGAAAAGGGGACTCCACCCCACTCAGTAACTCGTGGGAGGAAAAACTCAGATGTATTTGTACACACAAGGCAAGCGGCTGGGTAGGATAAAGGTCTCCTCCCATAAACAGTCTAATATTTGCTCTAAGACAGAATCTGAAGATAATTATGCTGTCCATTCTTTCCTTAACTGATGTCAGAAATAGGTCTGCAATTCCAGTTTGTCACAGGTACAAGTCAAAAGAGCAAACATAAAACATAAGTAATTGAGGTGAAGAAGCCCTGTTATCCCCAAAGTAGAGTTAGGAATATCAGAAGTTCAAGGTTATCTTCAGCCACATAGGGAGTTCAAAGCCAGCTTGGCCTGCAGGGTTACAAGAGATCCTGAGTCAACAAAACAAACAGTGCAATTCTGCATAACAAACAGAAATAGGGTTGTTTAATTCACCCGGATTATTCCAGCGAAAGCAAGTGTTGGGCCCAAATCATCTGCTTTAGTAAACTGACTGGTTATCTCTCCACAGATGAGACTGAAAAGCACAAGAGACGGACTGAACTGAAAATCACAAAGCCTTTGGTCATTTAAAGTTTCTTATCCTAGTTTACTATTTCTCTAGTGACTGGACTCTAGTAGGTAACAAGGGACAATAGAATTTTCTCAAACTCAGAGTACTTTTCAAAGTGCCCAAAAGGTCAAGGTTTCAAAGAGAAACAAAATCCCCAACATAGAAGACTGTCAACATCATCTTGTTATGACCTTAATGTTGACGTCGTAGGCTTTGGACCACAGAGACCTCAAGGCTGCTGCGTACACAGCATTGGTCACGGTCCTGGCACAAGCCTCACCTGAGCAGGAGAACAAGGCTCATAGACCCAAAGTTCCCACCCAGCCGAACTGGCCCTGCAATACAACTTGAAGTGTCTGGGAGTACCTTCAGCAGGAAGCTGTGTGGGTAGACAATCAGACCTGTGTCTGCCGCAGTCAGCGGACATATTTCAATCTACAGGTCTTGCTACCAGCCACACAACTCCAGGGAAAGGATGAGGAACAACTTGAGTCTTTGGCTCGAGGGGCCATGCCAAGGAAACTCAACAAGTTCTGCGCACCACGCCGGCCTGCTGCCCACAGGCGGGGAGAGCCAGAGTCTCGCTCCGCAGGTGGCCCGTGGGCAAGTGGGACACCAGCCCCAATCTCAGTTTCCCCCTCGCCCACCGAGTCTACCGCAGACGCGTGGAACTTTCCACGCGGACGCCGGACATGGAGAGGCAGGCCGCCGCAGCGCGCTTCCTCTCCGCCCGCTGACTTACCCTGAGCGTCGGTCCTGTTCGTGGCGGTCCCTGGCAGCGCCAGCACCTGCAGCGTGCACAGCAGCAGCGCGGCTCGCGCGCACACCGCCATTGTTTCCAGGGCCCCTGAGCGCCCGCAGCAACCGCTCGGCGCCCAGAGCTGCCCTCCGTGCACGCGACCGCTCCGCGTCCCCTTCCGCCCCTACCGCTCCCCCGTAGCCGCCGCCGCCGGTCCCCCCGTGACCAAATAGGGATAGGGCCTGGCGGCCTGGGGCGGGGCCAGGGCGTGGTCCACAAAGTCAGGAGGGGCGTGTCCTGCAGGAGGCGGGGCAGGGAAGAGCTGCGGAACCCAGATTGGGGAGTGGCTCTGAGGAGAGCTGAAAGAGGGCGTGGCTTACAGAGGCGGGGCAAGGGGCGAGGCCTCGGAAGGGTGGGGCGTGGCTCTGTGAACCTTGCGGGGAGCCGATAAGAGGCGGGGCTCTCGGAGGCGGATGAGGGCGTGGCTTTTGGGCATGGCTTGAGCACTGCGGTTCTATCTCTGCCATTTGAGGGATAATCATCTATCAGGATGTCCTGAACACAGGCTTTATATAGAAATTTTCGGGTGGGAATTGGCACGCATGCGGCGCGGAGTAAGAGAAGGAGTCACAGGCTGCATGATTGCAGAGGGAGCTTCTCAGAGGAGTGTATAGGGAGGTCAGACTCAAACTTAAGTTTCAAAGTAACCATCACGATCTTAGTACTCCATTTGTGCGTCCTTATTTCTACAACTGTGGAAAAACTTGTAGAGTGGGCGGTGCGGTTTGCAGACCAGTTGGAAATTTAGCATCTATAACCTAGGTCCCTCTCTTCTAGAGTTTGCTGACCCAGCTCAAAAGCAGCCTGTTGTAGTCTAGGTTTTTGTTTGTTTGTTTGTTTGTTTGTTTATTTTTGTTGATGTTTTTTTCAAAATCCCTCGTAAGCCCTAAAGCCAATGCTCCCAAAGACTGTATTTTGATTCCACTCAATACTCTAAAATTATGTGGCGAGTAAACATCACTCAACTAATGTGGAAGACAGATCCAGGTTATTGCAGCTTTTTCATATCTGATCCAGGGCACTTCAAAAATAAGGCCAAAACTTTGTTATGAAAAATACTTTTTGACTTTCATAAAGCTTCTCTGTTATAGATGTGTGATGATCATGGATTAATTAGGCCTTATCTGCTCTACATTTACAAGACTTATATGAGATTGCAACATGAAAATACCAGCATTTACCATGGGCTTTAAAAAACAGCTGTGTGTTTAGGGTTTGATGGTTCTATTTCTGAAGAATCTAGACAAGTGCTTCCAGACATGGAATAGGAAGGAACATTCTGTATACAGAATGAATGAATGTTCTGACTCCAGATGTTGAAACCCAGTGCTCAATGTGATGATTTAAAGAGGTGGGTTATTGGAGAAGTGAACTGAGCCAGAAGAACAGAACTCTCAATAGTGAATAATGCCTCATGAAAGTAGCCTGAGGAAAAATTTCACCCCCTCTGCTGTTAAGAAACAGTAAGAAAACTCAGTCTATGAGACCAAGGGGACTTAAACAGATACCAAGTCAGTTGCTGGCATTACCTTTGACTTCTCAGGCCAAGAAGAAATGTTTCAAGAGTACTGATATAATCTAACCTTATATTTTTACACAGTCCCCTAGTTGGTGTAGCAGTGCACACCTATAATTCCAGTACTTAGGAGACAGAGGCAGGAGGATTGCTGACAATTCAAGGCCAATCTGAGCTATGTAATGAGTCCCAGGCTGAGCTGATCTGTAGTGAGAGCCTGTCTCCGCCAAACCAGCCAGCAACTGAGGCACATCCTGTAAGTCCACCACTTGGGAGGCTGAAGGAGGATGAGGATTCATGGTCATCCAGCTTTAGATATTCAGCAAGTTTGAGGCCAGCCTGAACTGTATCAGACACTAACTCAAAAAGCCAACCAGCCAATCAAACAAAAACCTCCAAGATGAATAAAATAAAACACGAGGCTTCTCCTGATTGTAACTTCTATGACTATTCTCAGTGTGCAGTGACACACACATTCCCACTGCAATGCTGTTCTCAAATACCATTCTTTTAAACAGAGGTTAACACTGACTTTGGCATCTACTGGGAGGTCAATGTTTGCTTTGCACGGTGTCCACTGATCTTCCCTTCTGTGCAGCTTTCGCTGGTCTCTCCAGACTCCCTTTATGGTTTGTCTTCAACCATCTGGGCAGTTCTTTGTGCCCTGATCCTCCTCCTCTCAGCTAACTACAGATGCTGTGAGTCTTTTGCTTATGAGATGGCTTACAAACTACTTATTGACTGTTTAGTATATGATGAACCACAACCTAATGGAGTTTGTAGTCTAGTGGCAATATAGATGCTGATGGGCCCCAATGAAGGAGGTTAAAGTGTGTTGGGTTTAGGGAGGTGGCTAAATCAGTGAAGTGTCTACTGTGCAAGCATGAGGACCCAAATCCAAATCCCCAACATTCATGTAAAAATGTGTCAGATGCCTATAATCTTAGTGTTAGAGCAGAGACAGGTGGTTCCCACGGCTTGCTGACTAGCCAGTTGGAATGTTTCTGGTTTAGTGGGACACTGTCTCAAAATAACGAGATAGCAGAGATAGAGGAAGCTATCCAGCATCTGCCTCTGGCCTACACACATGTGCACACAGACTTCCACATGCATACAAACACACATATGGTATATAAACAGTGTCTTGATTTCTATTCTAAGGAAAGTAGAAAGGAAACTGGTGGTTTGAGTACTTATGGCCCCCATAAACTCACCTGTTTGAATGCTTGGTCATAGGGAGTGGCACTATTAAGAGATGGGCAGGGTTGGAGGAAGTGTGTCACTATGGAGGCAGGCTTTGATGTCACGTATGCTCAAACTATGCCCAGTGTGGCTCACAGTCTCCTTTTGCTGCCTGTGGATCACAATGTAGAATTCTTGGTTCCAGCATGTCTGCCTGCACACTACCATTCTTCCTTGCCTTGATGATAATGGACTGAACTTCTGAAACTGTAAGCCAGTCCCAATTAAATGTCTTCTTTTATAAGAGTTGCTGTGGTCATGGTGTGTCTTTACAGCAATGAAACCCTAACTAAGACAATAACCTAGTAAATGGATCTCCATTACCTACATTATAATTTACTTTTATAATCATTAAAGTCTAGTATTTTAATCATTAATTGTGGAACTGTGAAAGGTAGCCTGGTTCCCAGTTGAGCTAAGGCTTCAAACCCAGGTGACCTTGAAGGGACAATAGACATTTCACCTGTTTCCAGGTTCCAGGTCCCTGTCACTAGCCACAGCCCCCCATAGATTTGTGGCCATCAGTCACATATGGGCAATGCCCCAGGCCCCTCCACTTGTAGAGGATGTGACCTGTGGTCACATAGGCTCAAGACAGATCTTCATTTTAATGAGGTACCTAGAGGCCTGGATGGCTTAGCCAATAAGCTCTCCTTCCTAGACATTTCTCCCTGCAAACCTCAAGCCCACCCTGAGAAGTAGGTATGGTTTTACACATTTACTTTCCACCGTGACAATAAATGTCTTAAAGCCATGGATTGCCTCTTTTTGTTGGGATATGCCCTGGGGAGCCATGGAGAAGGCCTTCACTTACAGACCTGTGTAATCTTTCGTAGAAGAACTCTCTGCTCCAGTCCCATCAAGCCAAGAACTCTCCCGTGGGACTAGCTGGAGCTCCCATCCCTCCCCAACAGCACCCCGCCCCTGTCCCCTGCTCTGGCCTCAGCTCTTCTGTAGCTTCCAGCAGTGCCTGGGTGTCCAAGAGCCTGAGAACCAGATGGCCCTGGCTTCTTTGTAGGCCTGCCAATGGCCCAGCACCCTCTCAGCAACTGCGTGGGGTAAGCATAGTCAACTTTCCACGTCCTGCCTCCCCGAGTAGACGTGAGAGCCCATAACCCTACAATTAATAAATGCAGAAACAGGACACTTTTATGGGAGATCCTAAAAAACGATTCCATATACTTACACGAAGCTGTACTTTGGCTCACAGTTTGAGAGGTACAGTCTGTCATGGGGTGGAGAATGACAGGATGCTGTAGGAACATGAGGCAGCTGGTCACAACACATCCTCAGGAATGAGGCGGAAAGAGGAAGGTCGCACCCATATTCTCTCCCCATTTAATGTTGATTCAATGCAAGATCTCAGCCCACAGAACAGTGCCAGTCACTTTCAAGATGATCTTCCCTCTGCACTTAAATCTCTCAGGCCACTTCCTGAGTAGAGGCCTAGAGGTGGTCTACCTCCTAAGCGCTTGTAAGTCCAGTTGACAATGTAGACAGACCATCGTACATGCTTAAAAATCCGCCATAGTAAGTTTTCAGTTAAAAAGAAACAGGTGCTGGGTTTGTGGCTACATGCCTGTAATGTCAGTACTCAGCAGGTGTAGACATCGAAGGCTATCTTTGGCTACATAGCTTGAGGCTAGCCAGCCTATGTGAGAGGCAGACAAACAATGGAGCAGATGCTAGAGGTAGGCCCATCTACTCTGCGTGCTGTGGATAATCACTCATAGCTATGGGCCAATAAAACTTTTTGGTAAATTAATATTTACACAAGGAAAGACTCAGCATCTGCCTGGCTTTGAGAATGGTAGCTATAGATTAGGTAAAGCTGTGCAAAGGTGTAACGAAAGACTGTAACTTGGCCTCGGTCCATTTCTGCATCTCTGCCAAGTGCCTGTCGCTCCATCTTAGCAGACGGACAGCTGCGACGTCACGTCATAACTTACAATGAAAGGGCACTTCCTTTGCTCTGCATTCTAGAATCCTCATTTTTCCTGCACCTCCCCCTCTCATCTCTTAGTTCTGTCTTCCTCAGAGTACATTCGTAATCAGTGTGCAGATAGTCAACGAATCAAAAAGAATTGCATGTCTTTTGTGTTCGACATCATATTAGAGTCTAGAGAGACATGAGTAAAAGGGAAAATAAATGAGTTAAAAACCAAGACAAAGCAAAAGATAAATGCTTACACAGTTGGACTTTTCACTTCTAACAAGTGGGTGAGCAAAGAATTCTGGGAGCCACACACCTTGGAGCTGACTGCAATTCCAGCTAGCTGCAAGTTTGATGCCGCTTTGACCTACACAGCAAGTCCCAGGTCAGTCAGGGACACTTAGCTAGACT